TGTTGATGGGGTGCGCCCACTCTGGGTAGGAGTTCAGGTCGAACATGGCGACCCCCCAGGTGTTCATGGCCAGAGAAACACACAGGATGCCGAGGATGTTCATCACGATGCCCGTCTTCACCTGAGAGAGCGGACAGCAAACACATTCAGCATTCAAGGCTTATCATCATTAGCTTTAAAGCTCAGCTATTATACATCAACATGTGTCCCCTCTTCTTCATGTCTCTTCTACATCAACATGTGTCCCCTCTTCTTCATGTCTCTTCTACATCAACATGTGTCCCCTCTTCTTCATGTCTCTCCTACATCAACATGTGTCCCCTCTTCTTCATGTCTCTTCTACATCAACATGTGTCCCCTCTTCTTCATGTCTCTTCTACATCAACATGTGTCCCCTCTTCTTCATGTCTCTCCTACATCAACATGTGTCCCCTCTTCTTCATGTCTCTTCTACATCAACATGTGTCCCCTCTTCTCCATGTCTCTTCTACATCAACATGTGTCCCCTCTTCTTCATGTCTCTTCTACATCGACATGTGTCCCCTCTTCTTCATGTCTCTTCTACATCAACATGTGTCCCCTCTTCTCCATGTCTCTTCTACATCAACATGTGTCCCCTCTTCTCCATGTCTCTTCTACATCAACATGTGTCCCCTCTTCTTCATGTCTCTCCTACATCAACATGTGTCCCCTCTTCTTCATGTCTCTCCTACATCAACATGTGTCCCCTCTTCTTCATGTCTCTTCTACATCAACATGTGTCCCCTCTTCTTCATGTCTCTTCTACATCAACATGTGTCCCCTCTTCTTCATGTCTCTTCTACATCAACATGTGTCCCCTCTTCTTCATGTCTCTTCTTCATCAACATGTGTCCCCTCTTCTTCATGTCTCTTCTTCATCAACATGTGTCCCCTCTTCTTCATGTCTCTTCTACATCAACATGTGTCCCCTCTTCTCCATGTCTCTTCTACATCAACATGTGTCCCCTCTTCTCCATGTCTCTTCTACATCAACATGTGTCCCCTCTTCTTCATGTCTCTTCTTCATCAACATGTGTCCCCTCTTCTTCATGTCTCTTCTTCATCAACATGTGTCCCCTCTTCTTCATGTCTCTTCTACATCAACATGTGTCCCCTCTTCTTCATGTCTCTTCTACATCAACATGTGTCCCCTCTTCTTCATGTCTCTTCTACATCAACATGTGTCCCCTCTTCTTCATGTCTCTTCTACATCAACATGTGTCCCCTCTTCTCCATGTCTCTTCTACATCAACATGTGTCCCCTCTTCTTCATGTCTCTTCTACATCAACATGTGTCCCCTCTTCTTCATGTCTCTTCTTCATCAACATGTGTCCCCTCTTCTTCATGTCTCTTCTACATCAACATGTGTCCCCTCTTCTCCATGTCTCTTCTACATCAACATGTGTCCCCTCTTCTCCATGTCTCTTCTACATCAACATGTGTCCCCTCTTCTTCATGTCTCTTCTACATCAACATGTGTCCCCTCTTCTCCATGTCTCTTCTACATCAACATGTGTCCCCTCTTCTTCATGTCTCTTCTACATCAACATGTGTCCCCTCTTCTTCATGTCTCTTCTACATCAACATGTGTCCCCTCTTCTTCATGTCTCTTCTACATCAACATGTGTCCCCTCTTCTCCATGTCTCTTCTACATCAACATGTGTCCCCTCTTCTTCCATGTCTCTTCTACATCAACATGTGTCCCCTCTTCTTCATGTCTCTTCTTCATCAACATGTGTCCCCTCTTCTTCATGTCTCTTCTTCATCAACATGTGTCCCCTCTTCTTCATGTCTCTTCTTACTCAACATGTGTCCCCTCTTCTTCATGTCTCTTCTACATCAACATGTGTCCCCTCTTCTTCATGTCTCTTCTACATCAACATGTGTCCCCTCTTCTTCATGTCTCTTCTACATCAACATGTGTCCCCTCTTCTTCATGTCTCTTCTACATCAACATGTGTCCCCTCTTCTTCATGTCTCTTCTACATCAACATGTGTCCCCTCTTCTTCATGTCTCTTCTACATCAACATGTGTCCCCTCTTCTTCATGTCTCTTCTACATCAACATGTGTCCCCTCTTCTTCATGTCTCTTCTACATCAACATGTGTCCCCTCTTCTTCATGTCTCTTCTACATCAACATGTGTCCCCTCTTCTTCATGTCTCTTCTACATCAACATGTGTCCCCTCTTCTTCATGTCTCTTCTTACATCAACATGTGTCCCCTCTTCTTCATGTCTCTTCTACATCAACATGTGTCCCCTCTTCTTCATGTCTCTTCTACATCAACATGTGTCCCCTCTCTTCTTCTCATGTCTCTCTTCTACATCAACATGTGTCCCCTCTTCTCATGTCTCTTCTACATCAACATGTGTCCCCTCTCTTCATGTCTCTTCTACATCAACATGTGTCCCCTCTTCTTCATGGTCTCCTTCTACATCAACATGTGTCCCCTCTTCTTCAATGTCTCTTCTACATCAACATGTGTCCCTCTTCTCATGTTCTCTTCTACATCAACATGTGTCCCCTCTTCTTCAATGTCTCTTCTACATCAACATGTGTCCCCTCTTCTTCCTGTCTCTTCTACATAACATGTGTCCCTCTTCTTCTTCATGTCTCTTCTACATCAACATGTGTCCCCTCTTCTTCCATGTCTCTCTCTACATCAACATGTGTCTCCTCTTCTTCATGTCTCTTCTACATCAACATGCTGTCCCCTCTTCTTCATGTCTCTTCTACATCAACATGTGTCCCCTCTTCATGTCTCTTACATCAACATGTGTCCCCTCTTCTTTCATGTCTCTTCTACATCAACATGTGTCCCCTCTTCTTCATGTCTCTTCTACATCAACATGTGTCCCCTCTTCTTCATGTCTCTTCTACATCAACATGTGTCCCCTCTTCTTCATGTCTCTTCTACATCAACATGTGTCCCCCTCTTCTTCATGTCTCTTCTACATCAACATGTGTCCCCGCTTCTTCATGTCTCTTCTACATCAACATGTGTCCCCTCTTCTTCATGTCTCTTCTACATCAACATGTGTCCCCTCTTCTTCATGTCTCTTCTACATCAACATTGTGTCCCTCTTCTTCAGTCTACAATGTCCCTATTCTTACATCAACATGTGTCCCCCTCTCTTCTTCATGTCTCTTCTACATCAACATGTGTCCCCTCTTCTTCATGTCTCTTCTACATCAACATGTGTCCCCTCTTCTTCATGTCTCTTCTACATCAACATGTGTCCCCTCTTCTTCATGTCTCTTCTACATCAACATGTGTCCCCTCTTCTTCATGTCTCTTCTACATCAACATGTGTCCCTCTTCTTCATGTCTCTTCTACATCAACATGTGTCCCCTCTTCTCATGTCTCTTCTTACATCAACATGTGTCCCCTCTTCTTCATGTCTCTTCTACATCAACATGTGTCCCCTCTTCTTCATGTCTCTTCTACATCAACATGTGTCCTCCTCTTCTTCATGTCTCTTCTACATCAACATGTGTCCCCTCTTCTTCATGTCTCTTCTACATCAAACATGTGTCCCCTCTTCTTCATGTCTCTTCTACATCAACATGTGTCCCCTCTTCTTCATGTCTCTTCTACATCAACATGTGTCCCCCTCTTCTTCATGTCTCTTCTACATCAACATGTGTCCCCTCTTCTTCATGTCTCTTCTACATCAACATGTGTCCCCTCTTCTTCATGTCTCTTCTACATCAACATGTGTCACCTAGCCCTCTTCTTCATGTCTCTTCTACATCAACATGTGTCCTCTCTTCTTCATGTCTCTTCTACATCAACATGTGTCCCCTCTTCTTCATGTCTCTTCTTACATCAACATGTGTCCCCTCTTCTTCATGTCTCTTCTACATCAACATGTGTCCCCTCTTCTTCATGTCTCTTCTACATCAACATGTGTCCCCTCTTCTTCATGTCTCTTCTACATCAACATGTGTCCCCTCTTCTTCATGTCTCTTCTACATCAACATGTGTCCCCTCTTCTTCATGTCTCTTCTACATCAAACATGTGTCCCCTCTTCTTCATGTCTCTTCTTCATCAACATGTGTCCCCTCTTCTTCATGTCTCTTCTACATCAACATGTGGTCCCCTCTTCTCATGTCTCTTCTTACATCAAACATGTGTCCCCTCTTCTTCATGTCTCTCTTACATCAACATGTGTCCCCTCTTCTTCATGTCTCTTCTACATCAACATGTGTCCCCTCTTCTTCATGTCTCTTCTACATCAACATGTGTCCCCTCTTCTTCATGTCCTCTTCGAATCAACATGTGTCCCCTCTTCTTCATGGTCTCTTCTACATCAACATGTGTCCCCTCTTCTTCATGTCTCTTCTACATCAACATGTTGTCCTCTCTTCTTCAGGTCTCTTCTACATCAACATGTGTCCTCTCTTCTTCATGTCTCTTCTCATCAACATGGTCCCCTCTTCTTCATGTCTCTTCTTCATCAACATGTGTCCCCCTCTTCTTCATGTCTCTTCTTACATCAACATGTGTCCCCTCTTCTTCATGTCTCTTCTACATCAACATGTGTCCCCTCTTCTTTCATGTCTCTTCTACATCAACATGTGTCCCCTCTTCTTCATGTCTCTTCTACATCAACATGTGTCCCCTCTTCTTCATGTCTCTTCTTCATCAACATGTGTCCCCTCTTCTTCATGTCTCTTCTACATCAACATGTGTCCCCTCTTCTTCATGTCTCTTCTACATCAACATGTGTCCCCTCTTTTTCATGTCTCTTCTACATCAACATGTGTCCCCTCTTCTCCATGTCTCTTCTACATCAACATGTGTCCCCTCTTCTTCATGTCTCCTCTACATCAACATGTGTCCCCTCTTCTTCATGTCTCTTCTACATCAACATGTGTCCCCTCTTCTTCATGTCTCCTCTACATCAACATGTGTCCCCTCTTCTTCATGTCTCTTCTACATCAACATGTGTCCCCTCTTCTTCATGTCTCTTCTACATCAACATGTGTCCCCTCTTCTTCATGTCTCTTCTACATCAACGTTTCAGAGTGGCCTTCTATTGTGGCCAGCCTAAGGCACACCTGTGCAATAATCATGCTGTCTAATCAGCATCTTGATATGCCACACCTGTGAGGTGGGATGGATTATCTGGGCAAAGGAGAAGTGCTCACCATCACAGATTCTTTCAGATTTGTGAACAATATTTGAGAGAAATGGTTATTTTGTGTAAATAGAACATGTTTTAGATCTTTGAGTTCATCTCATGAAAAATGAGAGCAAAAACAAAAGTGTTGCGTTTATATTTTTGTTCAGTGTACTTGTTACGGGAAACTCGAATGACATTTTAAAAGTCAAGTATAACGTTTTGAAAAATGAGATTGTCCTGACGCTCTTGAATAGAAAATGAAGGGGAAAGTCATTTTATTCGTACTGCAACTTGCGTCAACAGACCGGATAAATCATGAATTCAGACTTTTTGCAAACCTCCAACAGACAGTTTGGTCTCAGCAAGTTTCATTTGGGTTCATACTTGATTTGTGTTAATTCACCTGTCAAATGTATGTCTTATCTTAATCTGGGCATATGTATACATGTGTCTGTTGATTGTGTATATATATATAGGATATACATATTTTTATATAGATTTGTATTCTGGATTGAGGGAAACGGTATTTCGATCTCTTTGTCTGTACACACAAACTGAAAGATGGACAATAAAGTTGACTTTGACTTTTCACAAATAAACACATAATACAGGTCAAACTCGCAGCAAGCAACTGAAGGTGAACGATTTGCTCTACAGCGTTGTGTGCGATGCGAGGGTCTCACCATGTCTTTGACCATGAGGTGTCCTGAGGCGAAGGCGATGGAGTTTGGCGGCGTGGAGACGGGCAGCATGAAGGCGTAGGAGCACCCCACGGTGGCAGGGATCATGAAGTACAGCGGGTTGATCGACACGTGGATCGCCTGCAGAGACAAAGAGGAAGTAATTTGAGGATAGGCCCTATGTCCAGGTTGGCATGGAGAAAAAGTGAAATTCTGAGAAAACATTTTTATTCTACAAAAACAAGTGAAATTCTGAAAGAAATCTAATTCTGTGAAAAAAAATATCACACGAGGAAAAAAAGTGAAATTATGTGAAAAAAATGAAATTATGAGAAAAAAGTGAAATTTAGGAAAATATTCAGAAAATAAGTGACATTTAAAAAAAATATCAAATTATGAGAAAAACTTTTTTTTTGAAACTGAGAAGAAATTGAGATTATGAGAAAAAGTGAAAAAAAAAATCTGAAAAAACCCCCAGATTACAGCTGCCTCTGGAACCGGGCATTACACCCACAGCTTTATAGGAAACATCTAGAAGGTGTCATATATGAACTCACATTTTAAGAGATGCTAAGAGGCTTCAGTTCAAATCTCAGTTCAAATCGCAAATTAAAGAGACGTTTCTCATGGTAAGAATCTGTCCATGCATTGTGGAGAGGGTGCAGGTGTGTTATGCTATCAGTGGGCTTGAAGCTGTAAATTCCTCATATTGACCCAGGGAAGCAAACCCTCAACCTTTGACTGCCAGAGAGACTTACTCCTGCAGGGCTCAAGAGGAAAACGAAATGCACTCATGATGTCTACATTCTTCTCTGGATGTAAAATGGTGCAGAGAACAGTTTGAGTTTCTCCTGAATACTGTTGCTGCGGCTGGCTCTGGGGATTTATTATATAGCGGCTGCAGAAGTTCATTAGACTTTAAGCTTCTCTGGAGAGTCTGTTTAATGCAATTCACTCAATAGGCTGGTGACGGGATTTCAATCTAAACATCAGGTTGGTTAGAGCTAGGAGAAAAAACATAGGGTTTATAAAAAGGTAGTTTAAAATTCCGATGTTTTCTTGTTGAAAATCTTAAAATACTAACTTTTTCTAAAAATTCTTACATTTTTTCAAACTTCTTACATTTTTTCAGAAATCTTACATTTTTTCAAAATAATCAAACAATTCTTACTTTTACTCAAAATCTCAAAATACTAACTTTTTCAGAAAATCTGAAAATTCTTACATTTTCAAAAATCTTACTTTTTTTTCAAAATTCTTACTTTTTACTCAAAATCTTACTTTTTCTGAAAATTCTTAGATTTTTTCTAAACATTCTTACACTTCTCTAAAAATTCTAACTTTAGTCTAAAAACCCAACTCATATGAGATGTTACTGTCACACGTCCTCCTGCAGTCACTAAAGCCCCTGTCACACTGTCCCGAAATTGACACCCGATGGACACACGAATATGGAATTGTGAATTACGCACGATGATGGCCCCGAACCACACACGAAGGCAACATTTACATTACATTTAAGACATACAACTGCAATGAAAGTACCAAAAACAATTATGTTACAGTACTATGATACTGTACTGATATCTTCAGACTTTGTTCTTTACTTTATCCGTCGTTATATGTAGAAAATATTACGTTTTCTCCGTAATGTTGTTTCCATAACAACAACAACTTCCTGTCAACTGTCCTTCAAAATAATATATTATATCCTTTTTAGTTTCACAGAACACAAATTGGGTTATTTACATAATATATTTACATGATTTTGTTGTGCAATAAAACAACCCGATAGACACACGATAAAGGAAATGTTCAAATTCGGCTGTGATCGTAGCAACATCGGGCCATTCGTGAGGGCATCTTAAGCCATCGTATGACCGCCGGTGGAGTTTCTCAGGCTCCGGCAGCAACTTCGTGAGCGGTGGCAAAATCTTTGGCATGCCAAAAAATTGCCGAAGGACCTTGAGAAGGTTCATTTTCGTGTTGAATTCGTGTGTCAATTGTGCCCTTCATAAGGCCATCGTGAGGGCATCTTGTTATCATCGGTGCCATCGGGCATTCGCCCCGATCAGAGTGAGGGCGAATGCACCGATGATAACACGAAGATGACACGATTTGACAAGATGCCCTCACGAGTGCCTTACGAAGTTGCCGCTCACGAAGTTGCTGCCGGAGCCTGAGAAACTCCACCGGCGGTCATACGATGGCTTAGATGCCCTCACGAATGGCCCGATGTTGCTACGATCACAGCCGAATTTGAACATTTCCTTTATCGTGTGTCCATCGGGTGTCAATTTCGGGACAGTGTGACAGGGGCTCTAGAGAGTGTGAAGGATCCCAAACACATGTAAACATGTTTAAGAACACAAGTTAAAACATCTCTAATATTAACGAGACTCTGTCCCTGAGCCTCCGTACGTCCTGTAAACGATTCTCTGAGTGCGTACTCTTCGGTACAAAAGCTCTGTATAATGATTACTGACGGTTAATGCCCAACAAACAGCAGAACACCTACTGAGAGTTAAACACGATGTTAACAGACTCGTGCCCTGCAGAGTTCACCAGTTTCCACTGCTTTGTGTGTTTTCTAAAGGAGGCTGCTGGTTTGAACACATGCCTGCATCCTAATGGGTAGCTCTGTGAAGTATCCACAGAAATAACCTCCCATCAAGGCCTTCCTTATTGTTTTACAAGAGCATAAAGATTTGATATCCACTTGAAAATAAGTGGTAAAGTTTGCAGACTTTGTTCAGACTACGTGAATTTATAGCTTAAATAAAACGCACCCAGTGTTTACTTTCATGTTTCATCCCTTATCTGATGCAGCCGATGTTATTAATTTATCACGTTTTTAAGAGTCCAACTTATAGGTGAAAGTACATCGAGATAATTTCCCCACAATATGCCCACCCTGGCTGTTTGGTACACCTTGCTTTAGGGTGAAAAGCATTTTATTTTAAATGCAAGATGTGTATTTTTCTGCCAATATCAGCGTTAAAAATCAGAGTT